TGGAAAAACAAAAAAACAAAAAAACAAAAAAAAAAAAAAGTGCCACCCACACAACAGCCAGGCTAAGGTGCCAAAAAAGAGAGAAAAAAGAAGAAAAGCACACACACACAAAAAAAAAATTTTTTTTACACACAGACAGACAGGAAAAAAAAAACAAACAAACAAACAAAAAACAATGTGAGAAAGGGGAGAAAAACAATCAGCAGTAGAAGATGTATATCCACACATACACAAAAAGGATGGGTGGTGCAGAGCGAGAAAAAGACATCACCGTCATTCATGCTTCCTCGTATAAAAAGTAAACATCTCAAAATAAGCGTACCGGAAAGTTGCGATCGGCAGAAGCATGCAAACACAAAAGCAACACATTACACTTCTCCAATCATCATCTCCACATCTCCATTTTCCTTTTTTTTTTTTTTAGTTTTTTGAACGTGTAAGGGCATGTATCCTTCTTACTACGACCCCCTCCTCCTGCCTTCTTTCCCCATTTGGCTTCCAGTACGCCCACTCCTCTTCTACTCGGTGATGTCACCCGAAGGGATTTCATACACAGAGAGCTTGAGATGACCGTCCACAGATGGCGCACGCGGCGGCACAAGCGCGGCCGGGCAAATATGACGCAGTGAGTGCGGTGGCACTTTGTACGAAGTCGAATGTGTCGTCTCAAAGTCACGATTGTCGGGAAGCGTTGCCCGCTCAAGTGCTTGACGGTCCTTTGGTGCAAAAAACGGCTGCTTCGGTGGATAATCCGCCGTGTACGTTGCAATGGCATCAAACGGTAGTGCCTGGCCAAGTGACTCGTCGCCGCGGAAGGATTTGGGTGGTTTCGGCATATCCCCGGAATTCAAACAATTCCGGATGGGCCCTTGCATTGCACCGTTTGTCGTCTCATAAAAACCCTTCATCTTGGGCAGGGGCTCCTGTTTGTAGCGCACCCTCTCATGGTCGGGCATGTGCCCCGGGAAGTCATTGCGGTGCGTTGTTGTGCCGATAAATGGCAGTGGATCACCAATCGCCGGGCGCGGCTTAAAAGACTCAGCGGGCCGCACTATTTTGCCTTCGAGCGGTTCCCATGCCTCCTGTTTTGTCGTCTTGAAGTGGCCTGGCACCGCCTTCCCCGGGAAGACGGCGGCACGTTCCCTGCGCAGTCCATCGCGCTCCGTGCTCTTCGGGACGTACTCGTCACGATATGTTGTCTCACCAAAGAAGGGAATTTTTACATCTGTACATCTATGTTTACCGCACTCGCAGATACGGCAGACACATGTGCGACCGTCTCCATAGTCAAGACTGGCAATTGAATGAAGCTGCGTCATTCTTTTCTTCCTTCTGCTTCTTCTTTTTTTTTTTTTTTTTTAAATTCTTCCGGTTCTTTAGAAACTCGCTTGATTCTCCTCCTCCTTTAATATCTCCGTTCGTGTGCCTATGGGCGTGTGGAAAAAGGAAGGAAAAAAAAAAAAAAAAAAGAAATAAAAAGGAAAAAAGAGGAGAAAACAGTTAAAAAACAAAAAAACAAAAAAAGCCATTGGGGCCATCAGTGGCGCACGTCTCCCACACAACGTTGCGTTGTTTTGCTTCCCACAGCAAATAAGACATGCATATATGTATACATCTCTCTTTTTTTTTTTTTTTTTTCTTTTCCCCATGTGTGTGTTTGTTTACAGAATATGAATGGTGCCATTTTTCCAATGACTCCTCGTGCCGGATGCGGGTCTATCTACATCGGTGAACACACAGCCAACAAACACACATATACGCACACCCGCACCCGCACAGAGTGAAACAACAAAAAGGCAAAGGACGATCATAGACATCGACATGTATGCATAAATCTCTTCACCTTCCTAGTCGTTGCTGCATACGAACCAACCGTACCGTCAGTTCTGACGCTTTCATATTTTCAAACGGTGTGGGAGGTCTTGCGGCAGGTCGTGGCGGCGATAAAATTCCGCCATACCTCGAAAGATGATTCTGTACGTCTTTCTTCTTGCTGATCGTTTCCATGTGCTGGGTACCGAGCGCTCTGATGGGTTCGTTCGAAGAGGCATGAGAAAAAACTGAAGGTGGGCGCTTTGATTTGGGCGGCACGTCAACACCGACAGCCGGTATTTGGAGGGCGTCAGCGGCAGCACTTTCCTCCTGGGCGCCGGCTCCATCCTTCTTGAATTGACTTGTGTGGTGGCGCTCGATGGCATCGATGGTCTGCTTTGTTTCCCTTAACGTCTCCGGGTCACGCTTGGATGGGGCGAATAAATAACGTTTCTCCTCCTTCTCTTCTGCTCTCTCGAGCATCCACGCAGTTCCGCTGCTCATCCACGGTGGATGGGCATCAGCGGCAGGTGGAGGCGGCACAATGCGGTGGCGGTCAACTCCCGGCATGTACGCGGCACCAGCGCGGCCCTGCGGCAGCGGCACGCCTCTTGCGGATGGATAAATCACGCGCCCATACGTGCCTCTGCAGTAGAGGGGGCCGCCATGCACAACGGGGGTCGAAAGCTCCTTCAGACGCCGCTGCTTTTCGGACCTGTGTCTCCTTTTGGACTCAAGCTGTCTCTCCGCTTCGCGTCTTGCCTCTTCTGCTTCCACCGCCGCCCGCTGTTGCTCCTCTTCTTCGCGTCGTTTTTTGGCTTCGCATTCCGCCTGTGCCGCCTTCTGCTGCTCCCGCCTGCGCAAAATAAAGGCAACCCTCTGCGCGTCCTCCTTACGGATGGCCTCTTCGTTGTTAAGAAACTGGTGGGTGAAGAAAAACTCAAACCGTGGACCCCCGTAGCGAACCATTTCTGCACTTTTCCCACAGATATATAAGGCAGCTAAAAGCAGAGGTAGCAATGAGGTGAAAAGGCAGGAAAAGATATGCGAGAAAACACCCCATTAAAGAGAATTGGGACACACATACATAAATACATACATGTATATATATATATACAGAGAGAGAGAGAGAGAAAAAGGCATAAAAACAAAAATTCAACCCTCCAGTTCTTTTTCCCTCGATTATTCACCTCACATCTCCACCCTCTTCCCCTTCTTCCTCAGCGCATCCGTTGATTCCTCACAACTCCTCCCCCTTTTTTTTTTTTTTTTAAACTCCCCTCCTCCCCAAAAGACAAACAGAAAAACAATAGATAGATATCTGACTTCTAAGCCTGCTGGGTTCCATAGAAAGAAGCGAATAGCGTCTCCAGCAATTGACCTCCATCTGCGGTCGCTCGGGGTTGCGCCAAACCAATAACTTCTGTGGCAGTCACACCGGGTATCCATTTATTCGTGATGGTACAGAAGCACTTGTAACTATCACCAACAAAAATACCATCAAAACAAACCCAACTTTTTCCTGCTGTCTTCGCCAGACGTTGTGGCCATTCGTATGGGACGGTGTAGCCGTTGTTCAACACGGCACTGCGCTCCTTGACAATAGCATCCATTGATGTTTCCTCCTCATCTGAAGAGAGTGGCGGACCACCAGACGTTGTGAAGAGCAGCTTCTTTCTTTCCATCGGGAGATCCCACCATAGAGGCAACACTAACACATAGTCTACAACAAATGGCGGGGGTAGTTGCTTTTCATTCGCTATCATCATTTTACTAGCAGCTTGTTGCATGTCATTCACGAGCTTTGAGAAAAGCCGTTCACAGAGGTCTTCATCATAAGGCACATCAAGCGTCAATAGCAAAGGCTTCTTTTCCGGATTTACGACAGGTGAATTGTATGCGGTCTCAACATCAAACTTTAGCGCACTACCAAGGCTGCCAAAGTAACAATCTGTGTCAGGAAAGGCACTGCAAAAGTGATTAGGCACTTTTTCACCCTCAAGTGATGAGTCTTCATTGTTGTTGTAGGAACCAGTCTTTGGGGAACCCATGTACGCATTAATCGGGGAGGCACACAAATCCATGACATGATAGCCAGCGGCATGCAAATGTTGCTTTAGACTGATATCGGCACACAACTGCAGTGATCCCGTTGCCAGGCATCCTTCGTAGCGTAGCGCAATTGTTGCCGCTCGAAGCAGAAACCGGTTGCCGTAGTCCAGCCTGGGATATCGCTCACCATCTGTCTTCTCAGCAAAATGTTTGTAGCACATTTCCAGTTTCTTGTACGCCGCAAGTGGAATCGAAACAGGCGGGCAACCATGCCGCACGTGTTTTGGCTGCCGGACGCTAATCTCTGCGATGGCGCCATGCACTCGACGCTGTGACCCCGTGCGGCTTCCCACCTCCGCCGCGTCAATGATGCGCAAAGATGGGGTGCAGTAAATGGAGGGACTTGCGGATTCCAATTCCTGCAGCACCTCCGCCGCCGCGTCCTCGCAGCGCCTCGAGAGATTAAAACTTGCAATTAACTGTTTAATTTTCGCAACGACTGTTGGGGTGCCGGACGACTCGCACTTGAGCGAAATATCGCGGATGAGCTGCTCGTCGTATGTGCCAGACGACAGCATGGCTCTTGTAGGGAAGAAGGAGACGGATGAGGCGGCATCTCTGTCGCCTCGCGTGTCGCGTGCCACCTGCGAAAGGACCCACTTCCCCAGTGCCTCCTGGCTGTGGCGCCATAACTTTTTCGGTTCAATGAAGCGGAGGTGCGGGGAGGCCTGCAGTGCCTCCAGAAAGTCGCGGCGAATGGCCGACCACCTCAAATACGTCAGCACCTCGCGGTGAAAACACAAACCGGGATGAGCGGCGTCCAAAGCGCCATCGACGCATTGTCGCTTCATTTATGCTGATTTTTTATTTTTATTTTTATTTGTTTTCTGTTTCTCCGCGTGAAAAGAAAGAAAATTCAGCAGAAAAGGAATGGGTGAACAGGAGAAACATTGATGGCAGCAGGGGAATGCAAACCTCCGGGAACACGCGGGAATTCTCCTCCCGAAAAAAAAAAACAAATCAGGCAGAAATGAAAAAGAAAATAATAATAATAATAAAAACGTCAGCAAAACAATGCGCAAAGGACAAATCTCCTCCAAAGAAAAAACAGCAAAAAAAAAAAAAAAAAAAAAAAGGGGAAAACACCGCCCAACAATTAATCCGTTCGGCACATCCTTTTTTTTTTTTTTTTTTTTTCTTGTTGATTCAATGGGTTCTGCTTAGTGCCGTGTTGCCTGCGCTGCAACATGTATGACGTCCCAGAGATTTGTAAAGATGGATCCGACGCTGTCCGCGATGACGTTTTGAATGTACTGCGCCGCCTGGGAATTTGAGAGGTCCAGCCGCAGTTTCTCCTGCACTTTGAGCAAATTTACGCGTGGGTCCAACTTGCCATCGCCCGATATCTGTGGAATGGACGCATCCACCATGAGCAGCAACATGCTCAGAATAAGCGGTGCGTGCTTCCGGATAATGTTGTACGAGCTGCAGCAGTAGGACTTGAAGTCCGCATAGCGTTCACTCTGGGGCCCACCCAGTGTCTCCACCATCTCCTTGTTGATCTTCATCGGCGGTGGGAAGGGCTTCGGGTCATTGCCGAGAATGTACCCAAAGTCGATATGCAACAGCCTTCCGTCGTGCGTCACAAGAATGTTCTCTAAATGCCTGTCGCCAATTCCAAGGATAAAGGTGAGAACGCAGTAGCCAGCGCAGCTCTTCGTAAAGCGACATATGGCAGCATCATACGCCTTGTTGGTCGGATTATGTGAACGAATGTATCCCGCAATGTCCCGTTGTACACTCTGAAACGTGACGACATCTGGCACAATTTCCACAAGACCCTCCGTCGTCCCTGTCGCCATAACGCGGTAGGGCGTGAGGCAGAGATCAAGGCCATCCTTTCGCAACATGCCGTCAATGAGCTGCACGAGTTGCACGACCAACTGATCCTGCCGTACGTCATCACCACTCTTGAATATAACACCCACATCCGGTGAAGGGAGAGCAAGTGGAACAAAACACGGGCCCAACGCCACTGCATTCTCCGGCGCAGCATGGGAAGCGGTTCTACACATACTGCTGTT